GGGCCGGGGCGAGCAGGCAGTGCGCGCGGGGAGGCGGAGCGCGGCGGGCGCGCGGGTCACGTTGCTGCCCGCGCGGACTGCGCGGCGGGACCGCTCTTGCCCCGCTCCCCTCGCAGCCAGGCTGCGGGCACCTCGCTGCCCCCGCCGCCGTAGCCGAGCGCGGCGGGCAGCGCTAGCCCTCCTGTTCAGCGCCGCGGCACCGTTTGCTGCGGCAGCGGGTCCCGCTACTCCTGGCCGTGCAGGAGCAGCCGTTTGCCCGGCAGCCGCCAGCGGTGCCCTCGCCGCCCTCAGCTCTCGGAGGTGCGGGTTGAGCTTTGTCGCGCTGGAGCCTCGGCCGCTGCAGGTGCCCTGGCAGCAGCGCCCGCGGCGCCCCAGGGCTGCCCGGGGGTGAGCGTGGGTGCTGAGGGGCCGGGTGCTGTTCCGCACTGTGCACAGTAATAACTGCACGAGAGGGCTCCGCTCCGCTGCGCTGCAGCGGGTGGGCACGGCTGCGGGGCTGCGCCTTGCTGGAGCTGCTCTTGCAGCTGCGCTCTGCAAAGAGCCCTCTCCTAACGTCCACCGGGACTGTGCTACAGTCATCCTCGTGAAATGGTCCTTCCGGCACCTTCAGATGACATCTGTAAGCGTGTCTGCTCTTTGCACTGTGAGGCAAGCTTTACAAAAGTATCTTTTTTTTTTTTTTTTTTTTTTTGAGTTTTGTATTGCAATTTTTAGCTAAGCGAAACCACCCTTCACGCACAAGACTTCCCTCTTTCCTCTCTTGCTGCTGGGGAGAATAGCCAGCATTTCCCCACCGCATTTCTGCCACGTTGGTGACTTGGCAGTTCCATTGTTAGCTCTACTCGCTTTTTGCTGGTGCATTGTTGGGTCCATGTAACAACGGCTATAGCTCCTGATGCCTTGTGCTAGATCATAGGCTCATATCTGTGATTCCCTTCAGAGGTGATGTGACCATTTCCATTTCCCCATTTAAATCTGGGCCCATATTTTCTGGTAAGCTGAAGCCTGTTGATTTGGACAGAAGATGGACAGGGAGATGGTTGGCAACCATGCATAGGAGATGGACGTGGTTGGCAAGCTGCATGTTTTTGGGGAACTCGCCGTCTATTTGTCACTGCTGAGTGTGTGTCTGGGGCTCACGGAGTGGTGACCTGTCAGCTTGTGGGGCACAAATGTTGGATGTGGGGCTAGCAGGTCCTGCACTGCCAGGACAGCGAGACAGCAGAGCCCTTCTCTGCAGGCTGGTGTCTTGCGGGGCGATGTGGTGGGATGTTCCTGTCTGCACAGACCAGGCTACTCTGATACAGGCAGGGCACCTCCTGAGAACAGATCAGGGATGTCTCCTGCTAATGGAGAGTTAGGCTGGCACTAAGTAGAAGCACGACAGAAAACACTGCAGCTCACAGAGACAGCTGGCTGCTATTTGTGCTGGAGTCAGCAGCTATCAAGGTGCAGAGCCCTTGAGTTGTTAGGGGTTCTGGGTCATGCTATGACCCTTTAGGTAGCCACTCTGATGAAATTGAAAAAAAAAAAAAATCAAAAAACACCCCTTAATTTCCAGAGTTACTTGCCCGGCCCAAGCAGAATCCTGCCCTGTTGCTGTAAATGTTTGGGTGAATCTTTTTTGGCAGCCTGGTAGTGAAAAGGCACTAATTGCCCCAATGCTCCTCAGCTGCTTGCACCTTGCTCATGAATGAGTGATTGTAAAGAGGGTGTTGTGGCCAAGAGGCAAAGCAAAGCAAGAGACAAGCTGGTGTATCCACTTCCAGAAATGCTGCAGGGAGCCAGGGTTTCTCTGCAGGGGTCAGATTAGAGAAGAAAAGTAACAGAAATGTTGAGAGAAAGGTAATATGTAATAAAAATAATCTATTTGTAATGTCCTGACATTATCAAGAGTCCAAAGCATTTGTAATGAGTTGGGGTATTGTCAAGGGAATCCCGATTCAGTTTTGCCAATCGAGTTGCTCGTCATGGTGAACAAAAAAGTTGAGATGAGAGTTTGAATTGGTAAATTGTTGAAATTCCCCAGTCAGAAGAGCTGCTTTCGGGCTAGTGTTGCTTAGGGTAATTGTGGCAAGTCTTATGACTGCTTCTTGGTTTGGTTTCCACCCCACTTAGTGCAGCCCAGCTGTGTTGATGTGACTTTGTGTTTCAGGAGAGGATGGCTTATTCCTGCCACCTGTGAAGTTCAAATCTACATCTGCGAGTCAAGGGCCTCTGGCCAATTTCTATCCCATTGTAGGCATTAAAGCACTTGGACCTTTATTGAGCAAACTGTCATATTATAAGTACCTTAATATCGTATATTAACGGAAGTGAGCAGCATGGCCTGTGGTAGGAAAGAGGTGCTGACCAATTCCAGAGTATTAGCTCTGTATACCCAGGAAACAGCTGACTTGATTTCCAAGTCTTTGATTCCTTATTGGTGACTTCTGGTGGCAACTTCTGTTCTGAAAAGAAAATGGGGAAGGGCTTAGCCTGGAAAGGGGCATTCCCACATATTGGGAAGAAATGAAAGAGCCTGAAACCACTTCTGGTAAATGTGTAAGTGTATGAAGCTCACTGCTATAATATTTCAGTAGCAAGAATTATTTTTAAGAAATTAGTTTCAAGCCATAGCTGCCTTTCCTGCAAGGAAAAATTGTATTTGCTATTGTATATGTTTGCTGATTTATAGATTAGTAGTTTAACACCCTTTTTCACTTCCTTTTTTTTCTAGGTGGGTGATCAGACTTGTCTTCAGAGCAAAAGAATGCCCCAGTCTCCGATGCTGGTGCTGATTGACTGCTTCAGTGAGGTGAGTTGCTGGAATTCTGACATGCATTTCTCGGGCTTGATGCAGCACTGCGTGGTTGCTGTCAGGTGGGGGAGCAGGTGAAGGGTATGGCCTGGCACAATATTGGCCTCGCTTTACTGCTCCTTACAAGCAGGCCACTTTGGCAGAACTGTGCCAGCTGAGGTGACAGAAACTTTGCTGTCAGCTCCCGTTTTATGGTCCCTGGAGCAGAGGTGGCTTTGGCAGTCACTGCGTGGGGAGCGGGGCTGGCTGCACCGCTCCGGAGGGCTCATTGGTGAGATGAACTCCTGCGGTCGTGCCTAACCAGCTTGGGTATAAAGCCAGTGACCAGCTAACGGGGTCCCAAGGCTTTTGTTTGTGTGTCCTTTGGCTGAAGGCAAGGCCCCATCTATTTAAAAATTCCCAGGTGTCTGAATAGCAGGGAGAGGCAGCAGAGGTGGTTCTACTGTTTTTCTGTAGTCCAAGTGAGTTTTGGCTTGTCCTGCCTCTGCTTCTGTTCCCCTATTCCTTGTGTAATTTGTTCCCAGCTGTACCTGCCACAAGTGCCATGCTTTCCCCAAGGTGTTTACATTGGACCTGCACATATGGATTTGATAGGGGATTCCTGCAGTGATTAACAAGTGCTCATAGGTCAAAGCTGCAGTGAAATTAATTGTTCAGAGCCTATGTGCCTCGAGGCGCCCATGAAAGCGGTGTAACTCACTCCATGCAATGCCACCTGCGTGGAACAGTTGTCTCAACTACTTCCATGGGAGAGGGAAGGGGAGAAAAGTGATATTCAGGAGAGGTTTTATTTGGGCTGAAGTCCTGCTCTCTGGAGTTGTTGTTTTTCAACTAATTGAAATCATGCACTGTAGTCCTGCCCGGGAAATGCTAGCAAGAGCTGGCCTGGCTAAGAGGGCCCCTTGCTTTGAAGCCATGAGCCACTGCTGTTCACTTCTCAAATCTAGACCTGAGTGTAAAACCCTGCAATCAAATAAAACTAGTAGCCAACTTCAGGGTCACTGAGGTAGTAACTTTTTGGGGCTCATCTGAGGAACTGTCATTTGACTCTGCTTCCAAAAATATTTCAGTGAGCCAAGATGATGCCAGGCCTCCCCCAAATACAGGGGAGCTCCTTGAAGGCATCTCTGCATTAGTGCAGAACAGACTCCCTCACACAGACCTTGCACACGTAGGCTCACTGACTGCTCATACAGGTAGGGTTTGGGATATGATGGGATAATGAGCCTAAGAACATAGGGGTTTGACATGTTGTGATAGTCGTTTCATCTGTGTAATTGGCAGCGCTTATTTTATTTGAGGTATTGGATGCTCTTTGACGTGTAAGTGCTGGACTGAAGCTTAGGAGTTGCATGCTTAAAATATCATTTCACTTGAACTAGTATGCATTGATTTCCTTTTTATAAATGGAAATTGAATAATGTGTATTAATATATATAATTTGTAATATGACCTGACTGATATTATAACTACTTGGCCAAGTCATTAAGGTCCACCATAACCTTATCAGTACAGAGCTTGTCCCAGGTCTCTGGGCAGCTGTGCTCATGGTGTGTGCTGCTTTGGCAGTGCCTCCCGTGCCTAGGCTTTCCTCAGGAATTGCTGGGAGATGGATGGTTGTGCAGGACACACGCAAGCTGGGAATAGTGCTGCGCTGGGAGGAGGCAGAGGGTCTCTTTGGGAGGATGTTATTGTTCAGGGTCAAGTTGGTGTCCTCAGCGAGCTCCTGAGGTGGGAGCTAGCGACGTGACCGTGCTGCTTGCATGAGCACTTGACCTTGCTCAGTTCGGGCAGGGCTGAAGTGCAGGAGGCTCGGGGAGGTGCCCTGAGGGCAGTGACGCTGGTGGGTGCCTGTGTGTGCCCCTTGACTAAGGGCAGCCTCGCCAGGCTGCCCCACAGGAGGAGCTTGCAACAGATCTCTGGGAGACTGCTGCTGCTCTCCAGCCCTGTACGGTAAGTCCTCGTGTTTTAGTCCAGCTGTAGGGTGGGTGCTGAGGCTCTTCCACTGTGCACATGCACGTTCCTACAGGAGTCATGATTTTTAGGGGTTTTTTATACTCGCTTTTTCCAATTCTTGTGTCGCGAAATAACCAGGTCGTGACTTTTTTTCAGTAGGATTAGTTTGCAGAAAAAAATATGCAGTTAGACTGCTACAGGTAAAAAGCACTGAACTTCAGTGTTTCAAATGTTCAAAGAAATAGATCCAAGTATTCCCAAGGATCTGTCCAGCCTGATTGTATGTTGAAAAAGGCAAAGAAAAAGATTGCAGTACCCTGATAATTCTGCTTTTTTTCGGGGCTGAGCACAAGCCCCTAAAAAACTTGAGGCAACTCGAGTCTTAAATTAGTCATTTAGTGTATTTAGATGTACAACCACAAACCTTCCCTTCTGTGTGGAGATATGCCCGAAGGATGTGGACTTCTATGAGAATTAAATTACTTGTCCTAACATTCATGTTGCTAGCAATGGTAGTCACTTAAAGCCTCCCACAAGTGCACTATGTATGACATGGTTCTAGTAAGAGTAACTTATTCCAGTTATTACTGTAGAAAAGATCCCCGAGGATCTTGATACCTAGAAAACCTGGAGGTATCAGGGAAATATTTAATCTGACCCTAGTTGAATGCAGGGCAGGTGACACTGATGGAAATAAGGAACCATGAACAGAATGGGAAAGGCCTTGAAATGTTCACTGAATTAAGAGCAGCACAGATGTCTTCTGAAGTGATCCTTGGAGGGAGTGAGTGGACCAAGTGGAAACCTTTCCAGAGGTCATGTAGCATTTGAGCCTTTTAAGGTTTTTGTTGGCTTGTTTTTGCTGTCTATCTGAATATTTTTGGCTGCCAGCTTGATGTAGCATTGGAGAGCACTGGGTAGCAAGTAGCTCATTTGCAGATGAGGATGGTAGGTCAGGACTAAACAGCCAAAGGCAGGTTTTCATAAGCTCAGAATAGTACATTGCTGGGAGTAGTGGAGAACAGAGTTGTCATTATGGTATTAAAACCCAGACAAGTCAGACAGTAATTTTGAACACATCCCGTTTCCATACAAATTTTTAGTGCTATAAATAATTGTTGAGAAGGGGAAAGACAACTGCTGTACTTGCATTTTCTGGAAAATGCTCTGTAGTCTTGTTTTCAGTTTGGGAGTTCTAAAATAAACCTCAAATTATCCAGCATCCTCATATCTCACCCAGGTAATCAAAAATGTCATTGTGCAGAAAGACCCCTGGTGATTTGAGACAGGGTACTAGAGTCCTGCCCTAATCTGATCAGGAATTGCATTGCCCTGAGATGGATCTGATCTACCTTTGTGGATTATCCCACAGACCAGTGCCTTGAGCTTGGCTTGCGTGCACTTTTACTTCTTGTCAAGGAAGGGCTTCCTGCTCAGCCTTTCTGGAAGCCTTCCTCTCTTAGATTCAGCCTGATAATTTCATTAGGTTTAGGTTTTTGCTTCTTTGGATCATTTTCCTTGGAAATGGCATTTTGTTCTTTGCTCTCTCCATCTGTTTCTGTGTTGATAAATCTGCTGTCTACCTCATGGAATCAAGTTAAAGGAATTTAGTGTTCCTAGAATGAAGTTGCTTAAAGACCATGCTGGGGCAGGAAGAGATTTGTCTTCCTTTTGGTAGGTGCTCTTAAAGATTTCACTCTACTGGGTAACCATAGTTGTCCTGCATAGAGATTTTCATGATTTCTCCTGTCGCTTTTGTTTATGATGTCTAAAATTCAAGATGATAGAACCTATGTACTGTAGGAAGCCAAGAATTCATCTCAAGCCTGGTCTGTTTTGAGCACCAGAGGTTTGCTATGTCTTGGTGTCCAACAGGTCATACCTGGATGTCCAGCTCGGCTTCTCCCCTTGTCCTGTAAGTGCAGCTGAAGTGCAGAACTCCTGTGTTTGCTTGTGAAGTCAAAAGGCATTAACTTTGGAGAGCTACTCTTTCCTTGGGAAATCCATCTTCCCTTGTTCTCATCTTTCTCATAGCTCCCGCTACAACCACATATCCTGCCTCCAGTGCCCTGAAGTGCTTGGGCCGAGTGTTCTGCGAGGGGAGCCTCGGAGATGCAGGGAGCTGTTAGGTTGGGCTGGGGATCCTCGCCCTGGAACAAGTTCATTAACTGTGTGGTGGTTATAGCACAAAAGAGCTGAGTTTTGTATAGGGGCGTCCTTGCCTCTTTCAATTATATTTCGACCCCTTCAAAACACCTGCAACACATAGATCTATACAATTAATGTAGTTCTTTATTAGGGCCCTCTGGAGACTTTTAGGTTTCCATTTAGGGTATCTCCTTTACAGCTTTTAAAGTTAATTGAAGAGTTTAATTTGTACAGCTCCGTTAGTGCTGTAGTAAAAGATTCTTTTCATAAATCTGTGCCATTCCCCAAGGGTGTTTTAAACCCGAGCCACCTTCTATATGGTTATATATGCGAATCAGGTGCAAGGATGATGACCAAGTCCTGTAACTGTATTTGGTAAAAAGATTTGCAGCTTAAGCCGATCTGCAGTGAACTTCCAGTAAACCCCAAGCTCTCCAGCAGAACTGAGACATCTGCAACCAATTTTCTCCTCCACGAAATAGATGTTAAGTGATCTCTGCCTTAATCACTGTACATGGGAGCCTATGCAGGGATGGATGCAGAACCCGAGCTGTTTCCCTGCTTCCCAAAGTTCATGGCCAAGCTTTCCAATGAACTTTAACGGCGGGGAGGCAGCAGCTGATGAGGAATGATAGTTGGAAAGAGTGTTTCAACAGTGGCCTATGCACAGCTGGTAGCCCCACTCTTGTTCCTGTTGCCTAACTCTGAGCTTCACGTCAGCAGCGCCACTTCTCAGCACAGATTTTTTAGTGTATTTTTCCATTAAAAGGCTGATAAATGGGCGCTAGTGAATCCACTCCCAATCACGATTTGATTGGGATTTTCCTGATAATAAGCTATTGTGGTATTGATGCTATATTGCAAAAACATGAACCAAGGGGCACATTTAACAAGCTGTAGGTTAACAGTCAGCCAGACCCATTTCAGAGGGCAGATCTGGATTGCCAAGGCAGAAATTGCTGCCCTGCCAAGCCAGAACAGAAAACAAGACTTGAGCATTTGCAAAACGGATCTGTGAGATGGGTCATGTGCAGCTTCTGAAATAGGGCAAAGCGGGGAGCACGACGGAAATATCTTCCACGGGCAAAGGAGAGGATGGCTGAAAGGCAAAGCCAAGCAGGAGCTGACGCCAACTTTGGCCAAAATGTACTTGGGTGTTTTTCTGTACGTTACAATGCAGGTAGCTTCTGCAGTTGGTTTCATGTCCAGAGGCCTCTGGACTATCTGGCATGTTCTCTCTGACCACAGACAGGTATGTTCTTAAGTACTTGAAAATAGTGTAAGGCGGATGCCCAGAACGATGAAAGAAGTTTTAGAAGGACTTTCTGACCAAGGCAAGAGTTGAGATTTTCTGCTTTCTTTCAACTTCCTTAGCCAGTGATAAAGGAATTTTGGAAGACAGAAAAACAAAATGTATTTCCTTGTATTTCCCCATATATTATATTTTTTATATATATGTATTTGAAAAAAAGAACCACAGGGAAACTTTGTTGCACTGCTTGGGTGAGTTTTTGTTTGTGTTTGTGAATGTAAAAATGTCTGTTAAGAAGGTGGGTCGCGTGAATGCCATGGAGAAAGCCTGCTCGGGAGTAGCTCTCCTATGGAATTGCTGAGTAGTTGACACCTCGATTGGTCCTTTAATGGGTTTCTCCTTGTACCCTGAGCACTTGGCACTACAGTGAACTGTCTTCTGATGCGGTGGTTAGGTAGGATTAGGCATATTAGAAGGTTCTCTGTGTGGAGTTTAACTACTGATGTTCCTCCCCCTGCTATTTTAACAGGTGAAGTCAGCATGTTGGCTGTGCAGCAGAGGTGTGTGTTAATTTTTTTCTTGTCATTAACTAGATAGGTCTCAATATGCCTCTTGGAATGAGCTACTAGGGAGGGACAGGAATTCCAGAGCAAAGGATTGTTAGAAACTCTAAAAGCAGCAGTGGTCACTGAAGAGAGAATAGGATCGGGACTAGTTTGGGAAGCACAAATATCCCCTGCCCTCCCTCCTTTGGGAAGCCAAAACGTCTAAGGAGTGGCAAGGGACTGGAGCCAGATTGAGGTGGCCCCGGAGGGACATTTAATGTATAAGCCCTGCCTGCTGTTAACTCATCCAGGCTATTGGAGGAGATGAGCAGATCCTCTTGGATAATTGTGCAATAATACCCTTTTGCTTTTATCTTGCCACTTTCCACCCCTTCTAAATTTTGTCGTCTGCCTTGTGCATCTACAAATGTGGCTTTAAACACTGTGGCACGAGCCCCGCAAGCCTTTTGATTTCGTCTATTGTCCTTATACATTGCTAAAACTCATGGCAAATATACTTTATGCCTCCTATGCTTCTTGCTTAAGTCTTTTTTAATCTTCTCCTGTGAAATGCTTTGAGAATGTCTAATTTGCCTGCTTGATTTTAGAATGAGCTCAAGACCTTCTGAGGCTTTGCATGAGCAAATGGACACGGACTAACTGAGTAAATCTGGATTCCATGTTCTCATCAGTAACGTGACAGGCTCGATGAATCCTTCACATAATTGTCTTTGATGGGAGAGTGTGAAAGATTCATCTTCTACCAGAAACACTGGTATTCAGAGGAGAAAAAAAGAAAGGCAATGCCAGGATTTGTTGTCTCAGTTCCTTCTGTTCCAGCTCAGCATGGTGATGGTGAGGCTCGTCTGCAAGCAAGTCCTGCTCACTGTGGCTCAGACGAAAACAGTTTGTGGCCTCAAACAAAAGCCTTTCCAAGCTTTGATAAAATCAGTATGCCTGTGCCAAGTTTTACACTGGCAAGTTAGGTCAACCTGTATGACCCCATTATAGACCAAGTAGTAATAAAATCCATTACATCTTAGACTGACCATTTATATTTCAATTTTCTTTCATTCTCCACTGTAGTAACTTCTTGTTTTTCTTGAGTTTCCCCTTGAGAACTGGGGTAAAATAAGTAGTTTATATTTTGACAGCCTCTGGGACAAGTGTGCTCTGGTGCATGTCTACGACTCCTACCCATGTCACGAAGGCGAACAAAGAAGTCAGATCGAGGGAACAGCATGAAAACAAATCACCAGAGCCAGCTCCTTGGTAGGTGACACTGAAGGAGTACCGGACCGTTAGAGGAACTCGCTTTGTGCAGGAAGCCCTATGCATAGTCTGTTGAACAGCAGCTTGTGTAATGTACTCAGTCAATTTGATTTCTCACTTGCACCTTCAGTAAACCAGGAGATAGCGTGTAGGAGGTAAGTAGTTACTGAAGTTCCTAAGAATCAAGCAAGAAACTTCCTGAATTTTCAGTCTATTTCTGTTTTAGAGGAATTAAAGACAAGAGCTACCTTTCTGCTTCTGAATAAAACTTTTCTGATCCTTAAATGACTTTTTAAACTGAACTTGCCTGCTAATGAGGTTCCAAATGCCGTATTCTAAATCTGTTTAGGAGCAGTGCCCATTTTGGGTTAGTGCAGTTTACAAAATTAGCAAAAGCACTAAATGCAGTAGACATTGTCCAGCTTGGAGTACATCCAAGATGGCTAGCAATGCCCTGATTTTTTTTTCCTTTTCCATATTTCCCAGAGGCTGGGTGTCCCTGTGTAATGGTCTGTCTGTGTTTGTCCCTTCCCTGCGGACTGCAAGTCACTGAAACTTTTTTTTGTAGTTTCCTGATACTGCTGGAGTGAAGGAGACTATTGAATTATGGTATGCAGGGATGCCTGAGCACTTGAGGAGTACTGCCTAGCTGATGTGCTGGGATCTCTGTGTGTATCTGGAGCTATACATGAAGCTTCCCTGCAAAAAGGTCTGCTCACATAAGCCTGCAGCGGAGCTGTTGGAGGGAGCACACCTTAGTGCTTGGGTAACCTGCCTTCCTTGGGCTGCTGCTGCTACTGTGCAGTGGGTGCTATGAAACAGGCATCCTGCAAGGGACCAGAACAGCCTCACCCAGCTCCGTTATCCATAGTTGAATCCATATGGGTACCATAATGCTATGCAAGAATAACGGCAGAGAGGTGAAATCTGCAAGTGAGGAGGAATCTGAGGGCCAGATTCTGCTCTCCTGTTGCTCGTTGAGGCTACTGAGATCTGTGACGGGGTACATGGATGCTTCTTGAGCTGAAGCCATATACTGGCTGTGGAAGTTTGCTGCTTCCTCTTCAGGCTTAAGTAGCATTTGAAGTGGTGCTGAAAATCCCGTACACAGGGGCAAGGGGCAGGGATGTAAGCTGAAGCACAGGCAGTTCCATCTCCATGTGAGGAGGAACTTCTTTCCTGTGAGGGTGACAGAGCCCTGGCACAGGCTGCCCAGGGAGGCTGTGGAGTCTCCTGCTCTGGAGGTCTTCCAAACCTGCTGCTATGTTTTATTTATTGTGCTTGCGTTAGCCAAATGTTACGGGCAGTGTGCTGTGCCACTGGAGCGGTGCTTGGGATTCTCTTCCATTCTGGAGTTAGACATGTCAGTTAGGTTAGTCACTGAATTCAGGAGGGCAGCATTTGTCAAGCAGAAAAACTGAGGGGAGTTAAGCAATTGTACACGTGACAGACTGGACAGATAGGTAACGATAATGTCTAATTAAAATCTTAATTACTCTTCCATCTAGACTGCTTGGAGATGCTCTCAAATGTGTTGAATTAAACTGACATTTCCCTCCCCTTTGCTAGAAATACCTAGTGAACATGTGATGCTTGGAGCTGTTCCTGGCTGTATCATCTCCTGTAGGATGCAGAAAGCCGACTGTGTCCTCCAGGGTCAGACAAAGCCCTTGGAGCACGTGCTCCTCGTGCTTCCTATTGCCTTGTTCTTGGAAGCTAACACAGGGCTCTGATGCCCCAGAGAAGGGAAAGCAGTGTATGGTTACAAGCAAAATAACATTTTGTCAATGAAAGGAGTTGAGCCGGGCCAGAGGACAGGAAAGCTGTCGGGGTGAGTAAACACTCCTTACAGAAGAAAGCCCAGGCCCTTTTGCTTAGATCTGTTTCTTGTGACTACGTATGCCAGTCAATACAGCGAGCAAAGCAAGAGCCTGCATGGTACAGACAGCTTGGTGATCTCAAAAGGGGAAGAACCTCTGCAGCTTTTTCCCCGTCCTGCTTTTATATGCCTCAAACAGAAGCCTCTTGCTGTAGCATCACAGAAGAACTGAGGCTGCAAGGGCTTTCTGGAGACCTTCTAGTCCAGCCTCTCTTCTCCAAGCAGACTTACACCCCTGTCAGGGCACGTTTAAAGACATTTGAAGGGTTGAAAGTCCACAGTATCAGTGGGCACATGGAAAGTGGTGGCCAAGTAGGTGCTAACCAGAGGAGTTACCTGACACTAAAAAAAGACAATGTTCAAATAGTAATATACTGTCTGAGGAAATAAACATATTTTCAAGTGCCTCTTTGTTTCTTGGAAAATCCAGAAGCAATTCCCTTGCCTCTTATGCAGCCCCCTTCATCTATACCATAAAATTCCATAGCCATAGAAAAACACAGGGCAGTGCTCTGCTGCCATTCCCTCTGTTGATTGATTAACTACCACCATGAGGAATAAACTGTGGTGAACTATCCTACAAGGCAACAGGAGCATCTTTCCAGCTAACAGTAGTGGAATGAGATGCAAGGTAGCTCTTCTAGTACTTGCTGCCCTCTTGAGAAGCAATCTCATGTCAAGGCTAGACTCATATCTTGCTGAAGCATCAGGTGGGATGTGTCATGTGTGATAGGGGCACTAGGTTGTCACTTACCCTAGGGATAACCATGGCCAAATCACGCCCACTTGGTGCCATTCCATTTGTCCCCTCCGGCTTTGCTGTGTGCTGACTGTGTAGCCTGTGGGGTCTCGGGGAAGGGAGGTCTCTCCTGAACTGCTTCAGACCTGTCTGAGAAGCTCTGAGCAGGAGGGAGACTGCAAGTGGCTTAAGGCCCGTGGGAGGTGCTGTAAGGCAAGTGATTCAACAGTGTCACTTGCCTTTTGCACTTGGCAAACGCTGTTGTGTTTTACAGGGTTGGACCCTCGCAAAGCCATGATATGACAGGCTGTGCCTTAGATATTCCTGATATTTTCCTGTTGCATTTCAGGCAATTTCTGTGTGATGTGAATGGGAAGCAAGGTATTTTTATGAGTCTTAGAGTCCCTCCTCTGTTTGGTTATTGAGCAGAAGGATCCGTTGCCTCGATGCCCCTGCCTTGGCCTCTGATTTGTGCTGTAACTGTATTTGATTTGTACCGTATTTGTACAGTATTGTTTCAAATGGAATTGATAATCCTAACACGACTGAAGTAACTGTTGATCATGAGATCTGAGTGTGTTGGGCGGGGGGGAAGAGGGTTTAATAAACCCACCGAGAATGCAGTCCTGTTTGCAGCATGGCAAAGAAAAGGTTTGAAAAGGAACGGTTTGAAAAGATGCTAGACAGGAGCCAATAAGGTTAGTTGTAAAGGATTTGAAAAAATGAGTTACAAGGAGGAGGCAGCTCCACAAAAGCAAAGCATTCAGAAGCAGAGATTAATGCATGTGTTAATATAATCAAGAAAAAAATCATTATTTACCATAATTGTTTCAGACTGTGGCTTGAAGGCAAAGGAAGATGACAAAGAGAATAGGCAGGAGATCTCTGTGGAGTTAAGAGCTCAAAAGCCTGGTGGCATGGCCAGACAGTGGTGGAAGATTCTGAGCCTGAACAGTATATGTAAAGCATCAATGCAATCTCATGTGGATTCAGAGTGGCCTTTCTACAGGATTAGGTAGTACTGCATCCCCCAAAATGACTGAAGCAGACAAGTGGCTAAGACGAAAAATCAGTGCAAGTATTTATTTGGGCACCTGGAGCTTCTTCTACAACTATATTGGGAAAACCATCTCTATAAATTTCCAATTTATAGAGCTAGTGGAATGCAAATTACAAAAACATATTGTTATAAAACATGACCTAAATGTTTGAAATCTGTTCCAAAAGGAGGTAGTTAAAATGGCTAATAATCAAATCCCATCTGTTTCATTATCTCCTTGGTAGAGCTTAATGCCTTCAATATTTGAAGGCACCATCTTCAGCAAGAAGCATCTTAGTGAGCTTTGGGTCTATTTTTAAGTAAAAAGTTGACAAACTCAAATGAGAAGTCCACAGCAGTGCATCATTCTGTTGCTTTCAAAGGAATTTCAAAAGTTTTAGATGAGAGGTGATCAGAAAACCCAGGTACAGGGGACATGAAAGCCCCCTGTTGCATCTTAGAAAACTGCTACATGCAGCAGGTTTCTGTACAAAGGACTTGATGTTGTAATAACACACCATGTATTCAGTCGGGTCCTGAAGCCGACCGTAAATTCCAGCTCTTGTGGGGTGTAATGGAGCCTTCCTTCTGCCAGGAACAGCCTTCCCGGCCAGCTCAGGAGGGTGCTCAGCGTGGTGGCAGCGGCGGCCTGGCCGGACAACTCTGTAACTGCAGACCTGTGGGCAGAAGCTGGAATTGTCCCTGGAAGCTCCCAGGTGCAGAGTTGCCACGTGGTGCTACTT